GGCCCACATGTGTCTTCAAGGATGGTCCTCCATCACAATGTAACAAAAAAAATATAACATTAACACCAGATCATGTGTTTCGTCTGATGTGCTTCGTCTTATAGACGAAATGTGTTATTGCTTCATCTATAATGCTTTCTTTTGAAAAACTTAAAGCAACGTTCTTATTGTTTATAAAAAGGCATTTTAGAAACACTTTAAGCTTTTTAGAGATGTCTGTGATCATCAAAACTCAAATCGTCTCAAGGGATTCTAGATTGTTCTCTTGATATTTTAAGCTTCTTTTTAATCTTACAATAATGGGAAAGTGAAGTGTGAAACTTCCTTAGTGGAAGCTCCTAGTTTAAGAGGGATTGTTGTAATATTAGCAATTGTTAGGATATTAATGGAATCATGCCAAGGTGGTCAAAAGGTGACACCTTGAAGGACCCAAGAAGAATGGGATAAACATGAAGATTTGGACTAGTTTAGAGCCCGATGGGTCCGGTGGGCTTGGTGGGCCCAAGTTGCTCATCACATGGGCCACACCCTGAGATCTCCATTTTTCCCCTTATTTGTATATAAAATATTAGTATAGGTTTCATATATTTTGGTCTTGTATTTTGGACCACATAAATTAGGGTTTTTAGGCCATAGGCTTATTGGGCCTATTTTCAGGCTTAATGGGCCTTGGGTATTTTAGTATCCAACATTGGGCTCATTTTGCTTCTTTTATTATTTCCTATTATTTGTATTTGATTGGCCAATGTATTTAGGCCCTTAGAGTAGGAATTTTGAAAGAATACTAAAATAGGCAAGTGTGGCTAAATCTAAGTTTCGTTTAGAAGTCATTTGAGTTGAATTTGGGTCATATGTTTTAAGCCAAGGGTGGCTGAACATGTGCACGCCCAAATCAACCACAAATGCTTACTAAATGACATTTAGATGCATCTTGGTCCCTAAATTCACGAACATGTGCATGGTGGCTGAAAATTTGAATTCAAATTTCATTTGAAATTCAAATTTAGGTACCAATTGTATGGCTTATGAATTGGCGCCAAGGGAGCTAGCATCCGGGCCTATTTAAGTGTGATCATTTGCTTCAACAAATTCTCTCCTTCAAAGTCACTTTTCACGCCTAGCTTTAGGTTCCTAGAAAGCTTCTAGGATTAGCACCTTTGTGAGCAATCCATTGCTCCTTTAGCTTTGGTGCTTCCTTTTTCATCTACTTCCGCAAATTCTTCACTCTAATTCTGGAATTTGAAATCCAAAATTGACTCAAGGAAAAGAGCACAAGGCTGGAGCAAAGTCGAGGGAAGAACATCCATTCACTTCACCTAGCTTTGCCATCAAATACACAAACCCTTTACTTGTAAAAATCTTCTTTACCCAGATTTGGTATGTAGAGGTGTAGGAAGGAGAAAAAACGTGTCAACCAGTTGATTGAGAGAGCTCATAGCAAGTGGTTGTGTGAAGGTTAAAATCTCAGTAGGTTGTTGAGTAAGGAAAATTAGCAAGTGGCTAAATGTAAAACATAAACAACAAGTGGCTATGTTGTGGGAAGGAAATCTAGCAAGTGGTTGGTGGTGTAATCTCAACAAGTGTTGAGGAAGAACTTAGCAAGTGGCTAAGAGTACTACACAAACAATAGGTGGTTGATTTGTAGAGGGGAAATCTAACAGGTGACTAGTGGTATAATCAGAATAGTTGTTGCTGATTTAGTGAGAAATCCCGTAGTGTGTAAGGACTAGATGTAACCCAGGTTGAGGTGAACCAATATAAAATCTCAATGTACAATCTCTCTAACTCTATTTGTTTACTTGTTGTAGTTACTTTAATGTTTTATATATATTTGTTGCATAATTTGTTGTTACTTTAAACTACTTAGAAGAAATATTCATGAGAGATGCTTAGAAAAAAGATTCATTAAAACTAAATATTTGAACACCCAAAAATAGCAACTTCTAAGCAACATATTTTTATAAAGAATAAATCTTTTCCAACGAAACATGTTTATTTAATGCTACTGCGTTCACTGTCATACTACTGTGTAATCAGTTTTGCAAATAACTAAGTTTGAAAACCATTTTCAAAAAAATACTTTAAGTTCAATACTCAAAAGCATCAACTTCTAAAGTTGTCTTTAGAAGATATATAATCAACACCAACACTCAAAAACAATAACTTCTAAGTGATAGATTTTTCAAAAAAAAACTAATTTTTAGAGAGCATATCAATTCATCTGGGACACAAACACATCTCAAAAGTAAGATTTAAAGTCTCCAACGTTAGTAATAGTTAGGGTATTACCACCATCAATTTGAACATTTTGATTGTCTTTGTAAGTATCAACATTGTGCAAATACTCATCGGAACCAATCATGTGATTAGAGGCCCCCAAAAATCAACAAACCATGGTTGGGAGACATCGAAGGACTTACCTTGGATGTCGAAAGCAAAAAGTACTCAGAGTACCATTTGTTACACTATATCATGATTCAATTTACCACTGCTAGAGTTTGTAGGATTGGAAGTTGGATCAGTTGAATTTGTAGTGGCATGAAAAGCTTGCACTGGATGCTTTTGTGGTTAAGTGGGACACTTAATAATAAGGTCACCATGTTTAAAATATTTGAAAATTTTCATGTTGCAATTACAAGCAATATGACTAAATTTCGTGCAAATAAAACAGAGAACTTGTTTCATATTGTGACCTTTGCCTTTACTTTGAGCAGCATAGACAACCATAATGGGCTTCGAGACCAAGTCATGATAGCACATGGATCCTTAGGTAAGTAGACACTACTCTTCTTTAAGTAATTCACCAACACAAACATCTAAAGAAGGAACATGACTCCGATTTAGCAAGGCAGCATGTGAAATCTCAAACTCCAGGCGAAGTTTCATTTGAACTTGGTCTCATTGACTAATCTAGTAGACTGTTTGGATGGCATCAAGGGAAGCTTTAGGGACATCAGAATGTAAGATGGCAGAATACTTACTCCACAAGTTCAAGAAGGCAAAATAATAGTCTTGAACAGACAAATCACCTTATTTGTGATTGACAATTTCAAGCTCATGCTGAAAATGCTCATGTGTTATCTTGATTATAAATATGCCTCAGGAATCCACATCTCCTTGGAAGTTGAAAAGGAACGCAAATTGTTAGCCATTTAGGGCTCAATGATCCTAAAATCCAAGAAATAATTCAAGCATCTTTAGTTTCCTAAGCAGCCAAAGCATCTTTGGCCTCTAAAGTGGGAGTGGTCCCATCAACATGACCCCACATCCAAAGCCCTTTCAGAAACATCTAAAATTAAAATCCCCAAGGCAAATAGTTTTTTTTTTCCGTAAATCGAACACGAATTCTCTATAGTCATGTGATTAAAAGGACCCAACCAAGAACAACGACCACACCTATAACCAAGAGTGACAAATGATTTTGTCACTAACCAAGCATACGTCAAAAAAAGGTAGAAGACTCGTACAAATTTTATCTTAAAATCGATTGGTTTTAAGTGAAATTGCCTAACAAATACATATAAATCGCACCAAGAGAAATGAGGCAGACGATATAGAACTTCCCAATACCCTCTCCAACCCCCCTCCATATATGTTTGTCAAACCAAGGATATCTATCATAATAAGAAAACTATGAAGATTGACTCTAAGTTTTGATACCATGTTAAAAAAATTGACTTACATGGCTTGCTTGCATTCTCAGTTTTTCTTAAATAGAGAAGCATGTTTACAAATATTCTAATTCATAATTTTATCTCCTTAAATCAGGGAATAAATACAATAAATATAAGAAATTAAACCCTAATTTATACACAATAAAGTGGAAACAAATCCGAGTGTAATGAAAATCAATCATAGTATACATTTTGATTAACATCTTGAAACTATTAAATTGATCTATGAAGGTTGCAACAATGATCATCAGTACCAGTACCATTACCAGCACATTGTGGCTGCTATTCATGATACTTTCTCGCATCATATGCAAGTTACTTTTCACCATGTTCTTGGGGAAGGAAATATCGTTGCTGACGCTTTTGCTAAAATGGGTCTAACATGGGATCCGGGAATTGAATTTTACTCCCGAGTTTGCTGTTACCTTGCCAGAGGAGGATTTGTCTCCTAGATTAGTCTTGTCCTAGTTTTTGTCTGTTTTCTGGCTTTTAGCCCCTCCAGTACTTTAAAATACAAATCTTCAAGAGGTGTGGTTAAAAAAGTGAGCACACTCTTTAACAAGTGTAGTAAGCTACATAAACACAAGTGCACGCAGACCAGTGAAAATGTGTATTTACTATTTACGTTGTAAAAAGAGACATAATTCCACAGAATGTTTTTGGCACATGCTCATTTTTAAATTTACAATTATAGCAGCTCGTATTACCATAAAATTCATTCACATCAAGAGAATCGATTCCATTGAATCCAGAAATAAAATTGTCATTCATGAGTCTAGTGTTCATTTATCTCCGTGACTTTCACGAGCAAATCCAAGTATTCATATTGAGTTTGCTATCCTGAGCTGAGAAACAGCACATCTGAAAAGGTAGCAAAATCTTTATTGCAATTCACTGAATTGAAAGGTTTACTATTTTTAATCATGCTATAAAAACAGAATCAGCATAATTAAATCGCACATTTTCCTTAAATGTATCTTAGTAACATGAATGCGATAAAATTATGCATCAACTTCATTCTTCACCAGTTCCTATGTATTTCAGCACCGCCAACTTGTCAACATGTTTTCCAGTAAAGTTTATGGCACCCAGTGCCACTTCCAGTAGAATGGTGACCTATCACAAGTAAATTTGAATACAACCCACCCCACGCCTTGTATATAAAATAGAAAGGAAACATGGGAATCAAATACGTGCCTAAATCTGTACAGGCTAACCACTAAGTTTATACCAGTCACACAGTAACAAAATAAGCTCCCCTGTCATGAGAAAAAGAAAAAGACGAGGGAACAGATCAAGTTGAGTATACCATAAAACGTGGAGAGCCTGATAGCAAATATATCACGATGCTACACATAATGGCATTATGATAAATATACAGATGGGGCAGAAACCTCTGCAATCAACTTGCACTTCAGATTGCTCCAGATATACTCAAATATGCAAGGTTGTACAGTTGATGAGACCAACACAAAACCATTATAACTAGGAGAACTTCTCTCCAATCATCTATCAACTTAGCACAGTCTCTGAGTTCACATGACCACCACTGCTCCCTGTATAGCTGTTAAATACAATTACAGGCACAGAGCGCTGAGCAAAATCTAGTAATAATTTCCTCTGCTGATCATTGGTGTGAGGAAGACTTGCTCGTAAGAGTTCAACAGGCATTTCCTTGCTAATTGCTTTAGCAGCATCTGATCCAATTACAGCCACATTTGGTTTACCTTGTATGAGCAGTGATGGCATGATACTTTGGTATTTATTCATGCAATACATTGTGAGAAGGCCAAAAAATTCATCAAATGAGGCCTGCCAAAACGACCTATTACCTATATAGCTGCAAGCACCATGGGGATCAGCAAGAAGTTCAGCGGCCCTCTCAAGAACAGATACTAAAATACGGGAGGCACAATCTCCAACAGTGCTTCCAAGAGGACGTAGAGGAGGCTGCTCTGAGGAACAAACCACTGCTGCAAGACAAGCACCTAGGGCACCAAAATCCATTCCTTGGACACACTGACAAACAACCTTAGAAAGGTCGCTTGTAGTCTCTGCAGCAGCCAGATCAGAGGGGAGAACACCAAATAAGAATCTCAAATGACGAAAAATGGCCATGCAGACTAGACGCATAAGCTCACTACCAGGAACAAGTAACTGAAGATACTTAGCTAGGAGTTTACGCCCTTTGGGTATAGATACTAATCGTAAGAAAACAACATCATCCTTAGCACCGAGCCCAACATTGTGTCCATTCTTTCCCAGTGGGTCAACAAGTTGGAGTGATGTTGCTAGTCCTTCCAAAAGAACCTTCCGTCTTCGTCTTAATTGAGCTCCACCATCTTGAAGCTGATTACATTGCTGAAAACGATCAATATCCTCTACATCAAGAAGAAGACATAGACCATCCTCAATTGTGACTCTGGCTGCAAACAGAGGCTCCTGTTCAAGGGGTTTCTCTGAAATATTTCGCTCAGTGCTACCACTAATAGAAGAATTTGACAGATCAACTTCAAGAAGAGCGTGAGGCCGGCGAATAGCCAAGAATGAAACCCTCCCTAAAGCATCGACCTGAAGAAAACCATGGGACTCAGTATTGGCACGAGCACTTGGAGGAAGTTCCTTTATTTGTATTGGGCAAAATGAATGTTTCAACTTAGCCCCAGATTTCTTAGCAAGACAAGCTTGGTGATAATAGTCATCATCGTAGGGATCATTACAATGAGTCACAGCCAGCTGCATTCTAAGAATACTCTCTATTTCATCACTGGTCATATACTTGGACCTAAACTTTAATGAGCCACTTCCATTCTTCAGGCTACTGGCATCAGATCCATGTTGTGAGAAACGATGACTCTGTTTACCCTTATGCGTTGATTTTGGTCTGTGTTCTCCAACATCAGCAAGACCAAGCATATGTTCATATTTGCTAACTATGGATGATCCAGAAGAAACCTGAGGACTAAGTAAATGGGATTGGAACATGTAGCCTCTGGATTGCTGAATGGGATGATGCAGTCTATGCTGTTGCTGCTGCAATTGGGTCAATAAATGAGGTGATAATGATCCACTATGATGGTTTAATTGTTGCTGCAACATATTACTGAGGAGGTTTGGATAATCCCCAGAATACAACCCTGATTGATTGACCCAGGGATTTTGCATTTGAAAATTAAGAGGGGAGCCAGTTGTAAATTGGCACACATTTCCACTAAAATGTGGCTCATGTTTCGATCCACTAAACTTTAGTGCAGAATTGAACAAATGAGAATGATTTCGTGACGGCAAAGCAATATGAGCTCCACTAGCATGAAAAGGAATGTTCGAGTGACCTGTACCGTGATTTGGAGAAGATTGTTGGGACCTACCACCAGGCGGAGGATAAGTAAATGAAGATTTTGGTAAAAAAATTGGTTCACTAGAAAACCGAGTAAGTTCTTGTCGCTTGTCAGGATAAGATGATGTTCTATACAAGGGTTTTGATTCTTGTAAGAGGGCAATGGAGGAATGTGGCTGTGATGACCATCTCTTTCCATCCTCAGTAGTTTCACTGTCATAAAAATGCTGATCAAACCAGTTAGGAACAGGTTCACTAGAGCAATGTTGGAGTTGGTATTGTAGTTGTCGTTGCTGCTCAGGATATGAGGATGTTCTGTACAAGGGCCTTGAGTCATGTAGCTGAGTTAGAGAAGAATGGGGATGTGATGACCATCTTTTGCCATCCTGAGAGCACTGCCCTTCACTGTCATAAGCATGCTGATCAAACCAGTGATCATCCCTTTGTGACCATTCAGAAGCAGAGGAATCTGTATAAAATATAGAATTAGAAATAATTCGCTCAATGAAAACAATGCATGGAGAGAAATAGTGCAGCCATAGAGCCAAAATACATATTATACTTTGCACACTAGATATGCATCAACTCATAGAAGTCCAAACATCATAATGCTATCTATCAAATTAATTTCCATGAACCTGACTGGCATTGCCTACACCATCATTCTTAAAAAGCAAATGAATTTTAAACACACTAGAGACCTTCTAAATAATCAGAAAACCAAGGCAAAACCTTACAAATATATATTGGAACACTTTGTGACCTTCCCCTATCATTAGTGTGGTTACTACATAAGCCAAGAAAACACTAGTTGAATCTCAACCCACTCAGCAATTACTGACCGAACATTTCACAGGCCCCTTTGGTGGGTGGAACTTTCTCCACTTAAAAGACATCAAATTAGTAATAAGCTTGTAGCAGAAGCCAACACATTTACATAGTAATAAATCATTGCATGTATACAACTTAATATTTATAAATGTATATGCATGTTTACAAGGTGGAGTTGTATAGAGCTAAGAAAAGTATACGGCACAAGCACCCAGAGAAAAAAATACTCTTTGATATGTAACAGCAGAAAGAAAAGAAAAAACTACTACAAAATATTTATAAATTATTTAGAACATCATGCTCTCAAACATCAGGTAATTGGTATCATCACTATAACCCAAATTGCTTTCGATTTACCACTCATTCAAACACTTCTAACATGTTTCAACTTTGTAACCAGGGTTGTGTGTCTCCCATAAAGAGAAGACAGAAAACTTCCAAGTTACAAACATAAAAAATAAGACTATTTTACATATACTTTTGCTATATACATTTCCAGTTGATGAACCCCGTCTTAAAATTATTTCAGTACTTCTGAGTAGGTTCTTTATGTGTTGCTGTCAATTTCCTTCTTCCTCCTTTGTTGTGTTGTGTCAAGCAGTATTGACATCAAGAACTAAGACAAACTTTCAAGGAAATTATTAGGAAGGATCTCACTAGCAAGTGTTCTAAGGCATTGATTAAGGCACTAGTTAAGGAGCATTTAATAAACCAACAAATGCTTCCAAATACTAAAAAATGTATTAAATGGAGTTTGTGTTTTGGTATAATAAATACTTTCTTTTCCGATAAAAACTTTCTACTTTTACTTTGCTAAGAACACAAATTATTATCTGCCAATTAGAAAATAATGGTTCAGAGTAACACATTTGTTTACTTTGATGCCACATGATTAGTACTTTCTATCACAATTTTAAGCCCCAAATAGATAATATAATGGCAATTTTTCATATATTGAAATTCAATCCTAAGAACTTCAAGTGTTAAAGAACATACAATTTAACAAAATTATAAATGAGGATAAGTAACACCAGTTAGCTGAATTGCAATTGCTTACTTTCTCTTGATCCCCGTTCACCAATAACTCCAGGGCTTCTTGGTCCACTAACAACCTTGTTCAACTGAAATAAATCAAAAAAGCTTAATATCCATTTGCATAGAGCAGAATATGTGACCATTAAAGGAGAACGGAAATTTTTTTCAATACAAAAAAACGGAATCATAAAATCAATCACTGATTGAAATCATGCAGACTGCATAAAAAAGATTAAAAAACTAAATAATGAATTTTAGACAAAATTTGTTAGTTGTCAATACATTCATGTAAATCAGAAATGTCAAATAAAGTATGTTAATCAGATTAACCTTTCCTTTCAACTCATTCATCTACTTTTCCTTCTTTTATTTAGTTTTATTTCATAAATGACATGACAGTATGATTGTCAAAATGACTGGACTCACAAACCAAAGGAGATAAAATACTAGAAAGGTAAAAAATGAGGGGAGGGGAGAAACAGAAACATGCACAGTTGCACACTACAAAAACAATGGAAATACAATATTATATTCAAAAGATGTTATTTTATTTGTGGCAACAAGAGGCCCCCGTGGTGAAGGATCAAAAATACCTTTCAGCCATAACAATCTCAAGAACCCAAGTTCCCAAGAGTAGCGTCCCTATATCTTACCCCAGATCCAGCAGAGACATCAATGAGGAAAGTAGATCGCGTGGATTTTAGCTCTGTGAAATAGGGTAGAGGGAGACCAAGACATTGGAGGAAAGGAAATTATTAAAAGGAATCTGAGAGTGAATAATATATTTGAGAATTTAGTTTATAACCCAGCCTAATGATTGGTACTGTATTTGTTGGTAACCAGTATTATTACTGGTCCACCACACACACCCAATAGAGAAACACAGATAAGCAAAGCAACCACTACATACCCGATAAAGAATAACAAGTGTGAGATATGCCACAAAATTTTCACCTTCACATGCAATTAAGAAAACATACCAATGGAAGGAAACTTCCACAGCATATCAATTCTAGAGAACTTGAAATAGCATGATTTATATAAAGACACTGATCTACATATTACTTCTACCAAATTCTTTTTTGATCTGCCAAGAAATTATAAATAGGATTTATTGTGATGCCAAAATTTAGTTTTTTTTTATCAATTTTCAGAATATACTCTCTTTGTTTTCTATTATAAACAAAAGAAACTGATTTTACGCATATTAAGGAAATCAGCATTAAATTTTACTAATCTCACGATATTCTTCCTAGACTATCCATACTATAAATGGCAAAAGAAGTAGTGCAATTGAAAGGTCCTGCATTAAAGAGAGATATTTTTGGAAGTGTTATTAAATGAGACAAAAATAGTCGAAATTTGTTTATATTTAAAAAAAAAATGTGTTTTTTTGCTCATAATATAGAATAGAGGAATATATAGTATATATATATATAAATTGTTTAAAATTTTCCAGAATAGCAACCTGATATCTACTATCCTACTGTAGCACATTTGGGGTCTTCCACTGCATGCCACACTAGTAAGGATTGATAATACTGGTTTATGGTTTCTTTACTTTTCAGTATTAATAATACATTCATCCATCTATAGTGTTGCTCCAATGATTGGACAGCTTAGCCATCAAACTCTATCTATCTAGCTATTTATATCAAAGCAAGTAGCAACCACTCATTGATCTATCTAAAAATCTTCACCATCCAGAGAAAGCATGATATGTCAGTTTCACAGTCTTACCTTTAAAAATGTGGTTGTGAGATCATCAATATCTGAAGGAGATCTTAGATCTTCCGCCTGCAATGTGAAAATAACAGTTAGTTCGATGAACTTCTAGCACCATATCTGCAATATTAATTTGTTATGATGTCCCATATTGATTAGGAATATGGCCAAAATACCTGTATAAAACTTGGGAAGACTCCCCCCTTGAGCTAGCTTTTGGGGTTTGAGTTAAGCATAATATAATATAAATTGTGGTAAAGATGTGCTACAACAACTACAGTCAATTTTTAATATAAAGTAAGCTATCCATTTTGTTCCTTTTGAATGGATGCAATCATGCAAAGAAAGCAGAATCAGTCAATCACCAGAGCAGACAACACGTGCTTCTCAATCAATTCTAAGAATTCACTGATACGAGAAATTGGGATTAACTAGATCAAATTCAAATATAATGTTTTAGCAATGAACAAGTGGTACCACAACTAAAAATTCTGACACAATTCAACATTTGGAAAAAATGGTCATGAATGGAGGATTTCAGTTACTAAACAAAGTATAGTTGCAACATCAAGTGCTGAAGTGAAGTATCAAGTCGTGGCATCCACCACTATCTCATTCGTGTATTTGACTAAAACAACTACTCAAGAAGATTCTGTTTGGGGAGATCACGCAAACGAGACTTGTTTGTAGTAACCACGCTGCATTGGATTACACTTCTAATCTTGCTTTCAATGAGAGCCAGAGTACCAAACTACCAATTACATTAAGATGCTGTCATTTATTAGAGAAAACATTCAATATGCAGACATCATTATTAGTTTTGTCGAGTCAAATGATTGTGTTTGTTTTGTTGCTTTTTGTGGTTTGCACACATTCCAAGTCAATGGGAGGATCAGGGATTCAGGATGAACCTAGGTTTAACTGAAATCCAAACGCACCATAACTAATAGATATTTTCACTGAATTATAAGTCTTGGATAAGTTATCTTAGTAATAAGCTAGAAAAACATGACATATATGTCCCTAACTTGAGGGGGAATATTTGTAACATCTATCATCAAGCCCACAAATACCAAGGTTATCAATAACAGATAACGGTCTATGACGGTAAGCCAAAAATCTGCCATAAACATATGGCGGATGGGTAAGCCAAAAATCCGCCATAAATATATGACAGATGGCGTGGCGGCTTATGGTGGACGCCATGGCGGACAAAAGTAATGCTTGAAATAAAAAACAACATAACAGAACATGATAATAAAAATCTAAAATACACATAACTAAATTCCAAAATTTTGAAAAACCGAGAACAAAAACATTGAATAGATGAAGAACAAGAACAGTCACACAAAAATGAGAGAGAGGAGAGAGAGAGAAAGAGATGATGAACATCTGAAGAAATGAAAAATAGATGAAAAAACAAAGAAAAAGAAAGAAATGGAAGGAAGAAGAAAAAACAAACAAAAAACAAAAAGAACTCTTATGCGTCATCGGATTTGTTGGCCGGAAAAAGAGCTCAGGTCGCTATGGTTTAGGTCCCCAGCAAGGCTAGTGGCCTAAGAAGGCTCACCATATGTTCCGGGTGAATAACACTTGTCTCCTTACTCCTTTCTTAGCTGCCTTCGAG